CACACCGAGGACCTCGAGGACGGCGTGCCGCTGCCGCTGCGTGCGCATGGTCTGGAGGCGCTTCGGGCGCTCGCGGCGGCGTCGGGGAACACGGCTGAGCGTCGCGTCCAGAAGAAGAGCATCCAGTTCGACGCAGCGCGGAGCTCGTGGGAGCACCTCTTCGACCCGAGCAAGTCCGACTCCCTCCTGGCTCGGGGGTACGCCGCCAAGGGCGGCACGGGCGCCGACTACGGCCGCTACTGGATCACGGCCGCGGGGCTCGAGTACCTCGCGGCCGTGGACCGCGCCCACGTCGCCGACGCCGACGCCGACGAGGATCTGGACCTAGTCGACGCCGCCGCTGCCGACGACGATGACCATGGTGATGCCCCTGCCCCTGCCGCTGCGCCTGCGCGCGTCCACGCGGCGCGGGCCGCGAGGCTCAGCAAGGAGCTGGGCACCGCGCGGCGCTCGGCCTCGTCGGCGCGCGCGTCAATGGCCGCATCCACGAGCAGCTCCCACGTGTGGAAGGTCGCGCGGCGGAACGCCAAGACCGTCGCCGCGTGCGACGGGTGACTCCGCGCTCGCCGTCGTCTCCCGCCGCGCGCGTCCCGCGCCACAGAGCACCTCGCAACGATCTTTTAGCAGAAACTCATAAAAAGAGGCTAGATCGACGAGGAATCGGGGTGTTTCGACGGGACAACGGTCCTTCAAGCGCGGCTATGGTTTACCCCAAAATCGGGGTCTGCTGGGGGTGCCTCCGCGTGGCGGGAGCCCCGTTACCGGAAACATATTGTATCCTAAAGGTCGCTGTGACGGTCACACCTAGGCTACTATCCTGCTACTATCCAGCAGGTGCACTGTCCGGCGACTGTGCTACCTCGCTGAGCCTGGTGCTCTCTGGCACGTCGCTGTGACGCTCTTGAAGGGAGATGGCAGTGCCAGTGTTCCGACCTAGACGGAAAATTGAAGAGAGAGATGGGCCTGCTAGGCAGCCCTGATTCCCAACAGGAGAGGGTTACTCTACACTGTCCTAACGTGGAATCAGTGTGCGAAACAACGTACGCCTAGGCCGGCCCACTCGAATTAAATAAATAATTATTATTTATTGTTTCCCGCCGGCGGCGGGCGGGACGTGTACTACACCTCCTGAAAATCCGCCGCGCGTGCGGCCAAGCCGGGTTGCCAGAGGCAAAATTGGCGAATTATGGCCACGCCGAAGACGGTAAGGCAAGTTTGCGCGCTAACCGTATTCATCAAGGAAGTTTGAGAGTGCGGGTCGCTGGTTCGGGTCGGCAAGCGTGTAACGTATCTTCAACTTGCTGTGCAATGTTTACTTTTTTGTTGAAGATATAAATACCAGGTAATTGTTGGAGCGATTTTGTTTCGCACACTGCGTGGAATAGAAAGAGGGAAAGAGAAGGAAATTGGGAAAAGGAGAGAGGAGCCCCATACTAAAGTGGGGACTTCGGGGGACTGAGGTCCATCGCTCTAGATAAAATAAGGACACTACTAGAGATACAGGCCATCTGCACTGCCAACTTCACGCTAAACCAGGCAAGTTACCTTAGCCAATTAGCCCGCCACAGCTGGCAGAGACTAGTGCCTCGGCCTACTACTTGTAGTAGTTAACTCGGAACCCACCACGGTTGAGGTTTCCGTCCAGGCCGAGGCCAGGCTGAAGCAGCGGGCTGAGGCCCGGCACGGGCCCATAGCAGGGGCCAAGATGCTGCGCCGAGGTGCACACCGCTGGCGTACAAGTGTAGTGCACACGCTGGTAGCCACCATGCTCAGAGATCAGCACCGTTATCGGAGCCGACCCAGCAGGGGATTTCGTGACCATGGCATTCTTGACTATGACACGACGTGAGACACTTCGCCGCGCCATTCACGAAATCCTTCCAGTGTTGATGTGTGCGCTTCGCAACCCGCATGGCATATTCTTGGTCGACAACCTTTCCACCAAGCGCATAGACATTCTCTGGTTTTCCTTCGGCGGTCTTATACATCCTAAACCAATTACGGATCTCATCGACGCGGTCTCTGGGGATTTCATCGACATGACGCCATTTCGTAGCATCTTTCTCTGAAACATCATCCACATCAACGACCAACAACTTCCAATCAGTCTCTCCACTGTCTATGAGCGCCAGAGCGCCGAGAACGCGCACACGCTGGACGGAACCTCGGCGGCAGGGCTTTGAGTTGAGCTGGAGCACGTCGATGGGGTCGTTATCGCCACCCAAGCCCGTGTCAGGGTCTGCAATATTCGGGTCCTCCCAGGTTTGAGCGATAGCTCCATAATTAACGATTGATTCCCCATATTTGTAAAAGCGCAGCTTGTTATTCCCCACGGTGTCTTGAATGAGAGGGTTGGGCTCGTGCCCTTTATGGATCTCCAACTTTGCATGTGTCATTCGTGGAATCTCACATACCTGCGAGTGTCAACACTTGACCATGCACAGTAGTGGACAGCAAAAAAACTTACGAAATGTAATAGAGGTTGTTTATCCTCTTCGGAATAGCCGGCCCAGAACGGTATATCATGCCACGGCGAGATTGTCTGTCCCCGGTAGAGGAAGTGGATGCGATGTGCGCGCTCCGTCGTTTTCACCTTCTTCTCGACTTTGAGCCTCCACAACTCAAACGACTTAGGATCAATTTTCGGAGTGTACTCGCCCCACGTTGCTCTTAAGCAAATCGCAAGCAAATATCTATACATGAGCCGCCGCGCTGTGCTTCACCCTGAGTCTTTGTGGCAGTTAACTAGTTATAGCCATTAATCTTTTATAGCACGACGTGGACAGCTTCCAGGCCGCAGGCATCTTCCCAGAGCACCAACCGCAGCGGCCTCGCAAAGCTCAAGCCGACCGTCGTCGATCGACGCCGTGACTTCGCCTGCCTCAGCGCCGGCGCGTCGATGCCTGGACGACTTGAGTTTGCGAAAATCGACAAGGATGACGCGCCGCGAGACGCGGGTGACTAGCTGCCCCGCGACGACGGCGCACCCTGGGCTGCCCCTACAAGCACCGCATGGACCTCGACGCGTCCTCGGCGTAGTGTGGGCACGAAGACGCGGTTCCAGGTCATCCCGCGCGTGCTGACCTCAGGGGCAGCACGAGTATGTTCTGTGACATGCCACGTACGTCGGAGCTCTTACGTACACCCTAAGGGCCCCCGTAGGTCTTAGGTAATTCCGGTAATGCTCAGCCCTAGGAACTCCACTCAGCCTAAGATTGTAAATTTAAGGTAATCTCGGCGAGCTCTTGAGATCCAGCTAAAAAAATACTAAGTAACATCCCTAGTCCGGGGGTCGGGCGACCGGCTAGAGTTCACTGGGCATGGTTTTCTGGTAATCTCGACGGTAATGGAAGCCCAACCGGGCGGCGGGAGGGTTATAAGGTTGGTCGCGGAAGGGCTCGACCCCATCTCCCTGCCAGGCCTTGAATTCGTCAGCCCTGATCAGCTTTTGGGCGCTGTATCTAGATCCATTGGGCTCAGTAACGCGCAGCTCGCACTGTGGGACGCCGTCCAGGGGGCCTATGTGGCTTTGGGGGAGTGGTCAGTGCTGGTGCTGCATACTAGCATACTCGGATTCTAACAGATACCCCGCCCTCGCCCCACCCAACTGTGCTAGAATCTCTGCACACGGTACGTGGAGATTCAGAGACTTTGGCTTAATCCCCGCATTCGTGGGATGGGGCCAGGATGGGGCTGGGATGAGGTGGGGGG